CAATTAGAGGCGCGGCACACCCTGCCCCCGCGCATTTACGCAAGAACGCTACGTCAAATGTAAAGTCAGAAAAGTCAAGCATGGAGAAAAGAGTTTGGGCTGCTGTAGTGAAGTCACTGTAGTCAGCGTAGTGAAGAATACCGCGAGAGGTGACAGAAATGGGAAGCCCGATTTTGTAGTGGTAGTACCTGTAGTATCTGTAGTCAGGATAATGAAGAAAGGAGGTTGGGCCGCTGTAGTGAAGTCACTGTAGTCAGTGTAGTGAAGAATACCGAGAGGTGACAGATATGGGAAGCCCGATTTTTGTAGTGGTAGTACCTGTAGTATCTGTAGTCAGGACTGTTAGAAGCATGAAGAAAAGAGTTTGGGCTGCTGTAGTGAAGTCACTGTAGTCAGTGTAGTGAAGAATACCGAGAGGTGACAGATATGGGAAGCCCGATTTTGTAGTGGTAGTACCTGTAGTATCTGTAGTCAGGACTGTTAGAAGCACGTAGAGTTTGGGCTGTTGTAGTGAAGTCACTGTAGTCAGTGTAGTGAAGAATACCGAGAGGTGACAGAAATGGAAAGCCCGATTTTGTAGTGGTAGTACCTGTAGTATCTGTAGTCAGGACTGTTAGAAGCACGAAGAAAAGAGTTTGGGCTGCTGTAGTGAAGTCACTGTAGTCAGTGTAGTGAAGAATACCGAGAGGTGGCAGAAATGGAAAGCCCGATTTTGTAGTGGTAGTAACTGTAGTATCTGTAGTCAGGACTGTTAGAAACATAAAGTGTATGGGCTGCTGTAGTGAAGTCACTGTAGTCAGTGTAGTGAAGAATACCGAGATCTAGAGGTCACAGAAAAGCGAGACGGTCTTTTGAAGTCGTAATCTGTGTACTCACTGTAGTCAGACCCATTGAGAAGATGACAAAATCGGGCTGCTGTTGTGTAGTGTAGTCGATGTTGCGGAGAAAATCGTGAGTGCAAAAAAAAAGTAGTAGACTAGTCATCATCATGAGAGAACCTTAATTGTTAAGAGCTGATACAGAATTTGTATGTGATGGCATTTATTTCTGGTCTAGCCTTGCCTTGGGAGTCAGGCAGTCCCTCTGTAGGCGGAGCAACACTATTTTTCAGCAAACTTCAACCTGGTCCATGGTCTATCTAGCTATAAAGCCTGAGTCTCAACCTTCCGTACTTGCATCTGAGTGCTGTCTACGTTCAAAAACGTGGGCAATCGTAGGGATCCGTAAGTGGTGAGTATGCCTCCGTACGGAATCCTACGGATTCGGGAGCACGGAGACACGCCGTAGAACCCTAAGTGCATGTAAAACTTTCTCTGCGTGCGGTTTGCGGATTCACTACCCGTACTGTGACGTGCGAGTACGGGCGACGCGCGTGCACCGTACAATCTATCACGGAGCGTACAACGCACTGACTTTGTGAACTGTTCTCATGGGCAATTGCTGTACGGACAGCGCATGTAGCACATCCCAGTTCACCTGCTCAATGACACAGAACACACGTGCACCGTACCAATTGCTCCGCACGTACAACGCACGTGAAACGCGCCTGATTTCTACAGTATATAAAAGACGACTTGATGAAAGTATTTTCGAATAAAAACGCTCATCGTTTAGCGATTTTCCCATTTTTGAGCCAAAAATGCTTTTTCACTGTCAGATATGCAAATTATGCTGCAACATCACCAATTTGCATACATGATGTCGGTGGGTCATTGTGCACCTGATGAATGTATTTTGGAAAAAAACGCTCATCGTTTAGCGATTTCCTATTTTTGAGCCAAAAATGCTTTTTCACTGTCAGATATGCAAATTATGCTGCAACATCACCAATTTGCATACATGATGTCGGTGGGTCATTGCGCACCTGATGAAAGTATTTTGGAAAAAACGCTCATCGTTTAAGGCCACACCAATTTAATTTTGTTGGTTCTCGGATTCGCCTCTTCGTTTTTTTCTGATTTGCAAAAAAAAATTTGATTCTGGTCCTGAATCAACTGAAAAATGCTCATGTTTTGCCCCCCAACAGTTGAGGAAAGTCCTTTTCTTCCTAGTTGTTACAGTTTTCCCATCTATCATTGCAGTGGTTTGATTAAAAGTTCAAAATTCAATGTTTAAATTTTGACCCAGCCTTTTGTGTTGACTTCATGGCTCATTTTGTAGCATTTAAGCCTATAATAGGCTGCCTAGACCTGTTTTTATTTTTATTTTTTTTCGCCCTGTCGCTTCATATTTTTTCTGAAAAAATCCGAGAACCAACAAATTAAATTGGTGTGGCCTAAGCGATTTCCTATTTTTGAGCCAAAAATGCTTTTTCGCTGTCAGATATGCAAATCATGCTGCAACATCACCAATTTGCATACATGATGTCGATGGGTCATTGCGCACCTGATGAAAGTATTTTGGAAAAAAACGCTCATCGTTTAGCGATTTCGTATTTTTGAGCCAAAAATGCTTTTTCGCTGTCAGATATCCAAATTATGCTGCAACATCACCAATTTGCATACATGATGTCGGTGGGTCATTGCGCACCTGATGAAAGTATTTTGGAAAAAAAACGCTCATCGTTAAGCGATTTCCTATTTTTGAGCCAAAAATGCTTTTTCGCTGTCAGATATGCAAATTATGCTGCAACATCACCAATTTGCATACATGATGTCGATGGGTCATTGCGCACCTGATGAAAGTATTTTGGAAAAAACGCTCATCGTTTAGCGATTTCGTATTTTTGAGCCAAAAATGCTTTTTCGCTGTCAGATATCCAAATTATGCTGCAACATCACCAATTTGCATACATGATGTCGGTGGGTCATTGCGCATCTGATGAAAGTTTTATTGTATGAAAAATGCTCATCGTTTAGCAATTTCCTATTTTTGACCCAAAAAAAGCTTTTTCGCTGTCAGATATGCAAATTATGCTGCAACAGCACCAATTTGCATACATGATGTCGGTGGGTCATTGC